CCAAATGCCTCCAATCCGAGACTGATGGGGGATCCCTCTGCTTCGCAAAACCACCAACATCCTTGCAGAGAACAGCAACACCCCCAATGAGTGTACGAAATGCAATAGTGACAGCAGCCCGCTCAGTGAGCCCCAGCAAGCATACCAGAATAGTATAGTAGTAGAAAACGCCACTTTAAAAAGCAATCTTTTCCTCTTTTGTTTTCCTCGTTCAGACAATGTCTCCATGCACATTGTGGCATCTAGATCTTTATTTTAGAGCAGTGTTCAGGGGCATAAAAAAAAGTCCCAAACCTGCATATTCGAAGAGAAGCTTACTGGCATAATGTGCCAGTATCTCACATGTAAACACATGCATACACACGAAAATTCATTTGAGCCACCAGAATGAATGAATATTGTAGCCCATAGAATGTTTATGCGCATATACTTCTAAACACCGTACACGTGTAAACGTGCGAGTAAATAAACAACAAAAATGCACATATTTACACTGGATTTTTCTGCCAGCTTCATAGTTGCCCATGTACATCAACTCTTAGAAAAAAATTACATTGATTTGGAGGTAAAAGAGGCTGCTATTAGTTACTGGAAATCATTGTCAAGAACATATACATTACAGATCTTTAAAGCCTATCTCCAGCTGAAAACACTGCCCTTGCAGTTGGGCTACCCGTGCACTGTAAGGGTTACTGCTGAATTTTGTCTAGGGCAGGGGTAGGCAACCTTGGCTCTCCAGCTGTGCTGAAACTACAAATGGAATAAATGAAAACCAGCCCCGCTGCCCCCATCTGCACGCGAATAAACGCGCAGTGTTTTCAACTGCGATTGTGTGCAACCGCACGGGCAGGGCTGTATTGCAGCAGGAAAACGCTCAATCTGCCTGGCACGACTGTGGTGCCATTAGAAAATAATGTCACTGACAGCACAAATTAAAATTATTAAATCAAAACAATCTAAAATATAAACAATGAACGTCCCCCCCCCCTCAGTGGGCCGCGGTAAAATTATCAAACGTTGACCGGTCCACGGCGATAAAAAGGTTGGGGAGCACTGTTCTGTCGGACGGAGGCCTGCTGACTTCTAATGCAGGGTCCATAACCCTTCATTATACGTGAGGATGCCAAGGGACAGTCCATAAGTCACAGCAGAGGAAAGAGGTGAGCCCTGACTGCTGGGGAGTGGGGATCGGGTAAGTAAAACTGCTTTTGGCCCCTTTCAGATGGGCATTCCGATCAGGTCCGTGCAGGGATCCCCTGCTGTTCGGGATTGACAGGCATCCCTTATGCAAAAACAAGCTGTGAACTCTTGCAGATATCTCGGAGATAGACTTTTATTATGTGCATAGGATCTGCTCATACATATAATCAGAGCTAAGGGACAGTTAATCATCAGATGGTGACTTGAAATAAGGAAATAGATGACACATTGTGATCATTTTACAAGTACACACTCTCACATATGAGCTTGCATATCCTGTGTAAGGAGCTCCATGCACTCTTTTATTTGGTGAGACGTATGTAGAGCCTGCAGCATACTGTCCTCTAAAACAAGTTCTCTTGAGGTCATGTATGGTAATAAAGGAGCCTCAATAAAAGCCTCAAAACATCATTTTTAGCTGTCAAGAAATGTAACGAAATAAAAAAATACAGACAAATAAAGGTTGTGATTAAAAAAAAACAATTATTGAGAGTTTTCCTGTAGCTGAATACAGCTAATCACAATGGGCGGAATTTATCAAAACTGGAGCAGACAGAATCTAGACCAGTTATTAATGGTAACCAATCAGCTTCAAATCTTAGCTTAACAAACTGAAGAGAGAAGCTGATTGGTTACTATGGCCAACTGCTCCAGATTCTGTCTGCTCCAGTTTTGATAAATTCCCCTCACTGTTTTTATGACATCTCAAGATGATAAACAATGAAAAATGTATTTATTGTGTCATCTTATATAGTGTGGATTACTCTGTATATAATACAGTCTCTACAATGTGATGCCGAGCAAGCCTGTACCTGTCATACACAACGGTCACAATAGTTTCTAAAGGGATCATGTAAAGTTTCACCACTAAAAATGCGACTGTCCTACCACTGTTGGCATTGCACCCTTAAACATTTGAACCCATTTTTTTTTTTATTGATTTCTTTGGACAATTGCCTGAAAAATAAACCATTTTCTGATGGCAACTCTGCCTGAAGCACTTCCAGTCCTTATAAGATCACCAACATCAGAAGACGAATGTTTAATATTTACAAACGCCCTTATAGAAACCTGTAAAGAGAGATCACCAACATCAGAAGATGCATGTTTAATATTTACAAACACCCTTATAGGAACCTGTAAAGAGAGGTTGCCTTGGCTGATTTTCTCTCATGAAAATGCTTGTTGCCTGGTTGCCATGCTGATCCTCTAGCTCTTTACGTGGCACTGACCTGAAGCAAGAGTGCAGAGGAAGACTTCTGATTTTTTTATGACATTCCAGGAGGTTGGAAGTCAAACAACTGGCATTTGCAAAAGGATATTAACAATGGCAGCCCACATATAAGTCTCCTGACAGGCTTAGGTTAGTTGCATAAAGACCGCTGCATAATAGGGATGCTTCAGGAAGAAACTGAACTCCAACATGGACAGCAAGCCCAAGAAGTGTTCGCTGAATCAAGCCCAACCTTTCACATAAAGCCCAGATGACTAGACTGAGGCTGTCCTCTCTGAGAATAACCATCTCCCTGGAAATGACAATTATGCTTGGAAAGTTGAAGAGGACGACCAGCAATAGGATGACTGAATAGAGTCATAGAAAGTATGAACACGCCACGCAAAGACTGAAGACCAAAAAGAAAATTATTCTGGAGAAACTCTTTAGATGTGAGCAAAGGTGTCATCCGTACACCAATTTGCTTAAATATCTAATTTAACTTAGTTACAATGAATGTACCATGTTTCGGGGTCATGCAGAGTTCCCTTCATCAGGCAAGTGTGACAAACACAGCTGACTTATGAAAGAGATCCTGTGCAGCCCTCAGTAAGTGTTATAATAATTGTAACTAAATAAAAGTGGACATTTAGGCGATATCCTGGTGCGCAGACAACTCCTTTGTTCACATTGTGGAACAGTACCATCTGTATTTTAATTTCCTAGCACCATGGGACTCGTCTATATTTGACACTATCCATGTAATTTTCAAGAGTCAACATTATCTTGACGGTACATAATAATAACAATAATAATAATAATGTTAATACGTATAGTGTTTCCTATTATTTCTACACAGTCAGTAAGGTTACAATGCCTCCCTCTGATCCCTCTGATGTACCTCTGCATGAACTACGTGAATTTCCACTACACACACAAAATGTTACATGATTGCATCATCAGAATGATTGGTAATGTATTTCAATATTTCCTCTTCTTTATTTTACAAGATAACTAGCAGCAAACAATGTGGGACATGTGGGAACACACAGAGGCAGGCGCCTCGCTTACCTGAGGGGAGCTGCTGATTAAACACAGTGAGAGATCAGCTCAGGCTGCTGCACATATCACAGGGTGAGAAAAACAACACAATTCCAAATACTGCTGTCAGGTGGAGAGGAGTGTGACAATCCAAGGCATCACCCCCTGGAATGAGTGCAACCACCCCTGGCATCACCCTCCTGGGAAGACTGTGACAATGCCAGGCACCCCCTTGGGAAGAGTACGACCATAGAGGCATTATTCCCCTGGGAAGACTGTGACAATGCCAGCCATCACCCCATGGGAAGAATGTGAGCATGCCAGGCATCACCCCCTTGGGAAGAGTATGACTACAGTGGCATTATTCCCCTGGAAAGACTGTGACAATACCAGCAATCCCCCAATGGGAAGAATGTGACCATGCCAGGCATCACCCCCATGGGAAGAATGTGACCATGCCAGGCATCCCCACTCTGGTAAGGTTGTAACCATACCACGCATCACCATCCTGGGAAGACTGTTACAATAACAGGCATCACCATTTAGTGAAAAGTGTGACCATGCCAGGCATTGCCACCCTGCATTGCCACCCTGAGAGGAGTGTGACCATCCAGACCATCACTACCCTGAAAAGAATGTGACCATGCCAGGCATCATCCTCCCTGGGAAGAGTGAGGTCATGCCAGGCATCCCCACCATGGGAAGAGTATGACCATAGCTGCATTACCCCCTGGGAAGACTGGGACCATGCCAGGCATCACCCCCATGGGCACAGTGTGACCAAGCCAGGTACCACCACCCTGGGAATAGTGTGCCCATGCCAGGTATTACCACCCTGGAAATAGTGTGTCCATGCCAGGTATAACTCCCTGGGAATAGTATGACCATACCAGGCATTACCCCCTGGGAAGAGTGATCATATCAGGTATCACCACCCTGGGAATAGTGTGCCCATGCCAGGTATTACCACCCTGGAAATAGTGTGTCCATGCCAGGTATCACTCCCTGGGAATAGTATGACCATACCAGGCATTACTCCCTGGGAGGAGTGATCATACCAGGTATCACCACCCTGGGAATAGTGTGCCCATGCCAGGTATTACCACCCTGGAAATAGTGTGTCCATGCCAGGTATTACCACCCTGAGAATAGTGTGCCCATGCCAGGTATCACCCCTTGGGAATAGTGCGACCATGCAAGGTATCACCACCCTGGGAATAGTTTTTCCATGCCAGGTGTCACCCCCTGGGAATAGTGTGCCCATACCAGGTATCACCACCCTGGGAATAGTGTGCCCATGCCAGGTAACACCCCCTGGGAATAGTGTGCCCATGCCAGGTATCACCACCCTGGGAATAGTGTGCCCATGCCAGGTTTCCCCATCCTTGGAATAGTATGCCCATGCTAGGTATTTCTACCCCTGTCACACTCCCAGCACTATGTACGATCAGCGCAGCCTCTCGTGTAAGCAGTAGACAGATGGCTGCCTCTATGTACCTGTCATCATCCTGCCGATCTACAAACAAATAAAACAGCGATCACCTACCTGAGGAGATGGAGGAGCCGGACAGGCTGGAGTTACTGGACGCTGCCATGCTGGACAGCTGTGCTGAGACACATGCACAGGGTCTGGTCTAGCCCATGTCAAAGTAGAGCAGGGACACGCTCGGTGCTTATCACCAGCCTCCCACTACTTTGCAGGCACTTCCTGCTCTGTCAGATGACGTGCATGCTGCGAGTATTTCTTCTGCTCTCTGTCCTTCCAGGTGTCAATGTGTCCCCACTGCCTTGTCACAGCGATGTCCCGGTGGCTCTGGCGGGCTGCTCGATGAGCAGTGACAGCGGAGAGAGCCTCCCACTCCTGATTACAAAGGGGATGGCAGCCTGCTGAGAGCTGAATGCTGCCCTCCCTGTGCTCTGCCAGTCTTCCAGTGCTCAACTTGTGGATGCCATCCAAACTGTGCTATCGGCAAACATTGCACAAGCCGTGTGTGTGTGTGTGTGTGTGGCACAGCAATAGGAGACAGTCATTTGGAGAGGGATCAGGTTTCATCAAATGACTGTTATTAAAATTCGTGCCATTATAATATTCATGTTCTTATAAAGGCAATCAAAATGCACCTGAGGCTGATTAATGGGGACCGTATGTAAACTGTCACTGCTGACTTTCTAATAGCTGTTAAAGGTGGAGTTTCTGTTAAAGGGGAAGTCAAATTAATACAATAAAAACATTCTAGGATGTTGGATTTTTCACAAAAGAGACATGCAAAGTTTTTTTTTCTTAAAAAAATATCTTCCTCTCTCCCTCATTCTTTTTGTATTTTTTGTGTACACTGAATGCGCCATGCAATGTACACACTCTCTAAGCCCCCCGTCAGGGCCCTTTCACACCAAAATCGGAAGGAATTTGCATTTACGTTGACTTGCCATTTCAACCTCCGTTGACTTTCATTGCATTTAAAAAAAAAAAAATTCTCTTTTTCGCCAATCTTTATTTTAATTAAAATGTCCTAAGTGGACAAACATGTTTTTTTAATGTATTTTTTGCTTCTGTTCCGTTGCGATTACATCCGTTTTTGTTCTGTTATGTTACGTTGCTCTGAAAAAATTTAAAGCTTGCTCTACTCTGTTTTCATCGCACTGCAAGGGACAGGAACGGATCACAGCGGTGTGAACTGGTCCCATTCACACTCATTCATTTTTCATTCCCCTTGCATTAGCACTGATCTGGTGTGAATGGGGCCTCACACCTACAATGCAGGTGCGTTTAGGGATTCCTGTGTCAGGAATTTGCAATTTTCTGCAGCAGAAATCCCAAATCTGACGTTTACAAGCAGCAGCTGCCACACATTCAAGTTAATGATCGGTTGACAGCGGCTGCATTGAAAGCAGAAGAACGCTGGCACACTGTATGTAATTGTATATGATATAATTACATGCGGTTAGGAATCAATCACTATCCTTGGGCACATTGATTTTGAACGGGTGACAGCTGCCACTTGTAAATGGCAGATTTGGGATTCCTGCTGTAGGAAATCCCTAAATGCACCTACATTGTAGGTGTGAATGATGGCTTAAGGTGGTCACACACTTGACAAATGTCTTGCGAGGGTTGTAAAGTAATTTTAAAAATGTACGATCTGCCCATCTTGGACAGGCAGATCGTACTTGCGATCATCGCAAGCCCCCTCCCCCCCCGAGGGGCGGGCTTCCGATGACTGCAATGCTGAACGCGCAGTGCGCACACCGGCCCGTTCGGCAGTTATCTCTCCATCGTGCTAAAAACCAGCCGAAAATCGTACGATTCTCGGCTGGTTTTCCAACATGCTCGAAATACAAAAGTCGTGCGACTGTACAGTAGAAACGGTTGCACGCCTTCCATTCACTGCACGATTATCGTACGATCGCGGGATTTCCTGCGATTCTCGTACGATAATCGTGCAGTGCATGGGCACCTTTAGAGATGCCATGAATGGGAAATGGTGCATGCTGTGTACACAAAAAATAAAAAAATTACTGCGGGAGAGAGAGAGATTTTTTGGGAAGGAGAGACATTGCACGTCCCTTTTGTTAAATATCCCTACGTCCGAGTAATTTTTTAATTTATTGACGTTACTTCTGCTTTAACATATACTTTAATTCAGCATGACAGCTATTAAGAAGTCAGCAGAAATCACAAGTTCAAGATGCAGGAATCCCTAAACACACCTACACTGAGGGCTAAGATGTTGTGAATGGGCCGAGCGCTGGGGAGCATGTAATGTCTGTGCAAAAAGACCAGAGACTAACTACATTTCCCCTAGACAGTTGTCACTGGAACAAGTATCCCCATTGGAAGATTTCCCCCACCTCCTGTTCTGGTTACAACTGTAAAACTTTGGATTTCCCATGACTTTCTGTATCAGGGACAAACAACACCAGGAACCAACAGTTTACACAGAGCTTTACAATACAAAGGGGCTACAGTTACAATATAATTCAATATAAGAGGATTAGGACGGCCGTCACGTAAGAGCTTACAATCTCAAAAGAAAGGGCAAGTGATATAAAAGGCAATAATTGTGTGGGGATGAGCTGATGGAGGAAGTAGAAGTAAGTAAGGCGGGATAGGCTTCCCTGAAGAAATACGTTGGTCAAATTGGGGTAGGGAGTTCCAGAGGATGGGAGAGGATCTGGATAAGTCATTGAGATGAGTAGGGGGGAATTAATGAGGGAGCTAGAGAGCAGGAGGTTTTGGGAGGCATGGAGAGGATAGTTTGGGTGATACTTTGAGATGAGGTTAGTTATGTAGCCGGGGGCAGAGTTGTTACATAGTTACATAGTATTTGAGGTTGAAAAAAGACACAGGTCCATCAAGTTCAACCTTTGTGTGTCTGTGTGTGATTGTGCATGTGCGTATATGTGCGTATATGTGAGTCCCCGTGTGGTTTAGTATTTAACCCCTTCATGACTAAGGCCTTTTTTTCATTGCAATCAAAATGTTGCTACATGCCCTACTGTGTTTGTGTCCTATGTTGTCCTGTTTAACACAAACACAGAGGAAAAACATGCATTTGACGACTGCCTTTGGGATACCATTAACTGGTAATAGCACAGCAAGCATGTTTTGCGTTTTTCACGAACACGTGCCAAAGCGTGCATTTTTTGCGATTTTGACATGCGTACATCAAACACTCAAATGTCAATGGGGCCTTAGTCCTTCTGTTTAGCCTATAGTATGTAAGAAGAGTAGGGCACAGAATGCATAGGCAATGCACACACCCTTGCCACACTCCCAGTTATATATAAGCAATGCACACACTCCTGCCATGCCTTCAGTTATATATAGACAAGGCACACACTCCTCCAGTTATATATGGGCCATAGACCAGGGGTCAGCAACCTGCGGCTCCGGAGCCGCATGTGGCTCTTTCATCCCTCTGCTGCGGCTCCCCGTCCAGGGGCGGAACTACCGCTGGGGCCTGAGGCTGTGGGGGGGCCCAGTGAGGTCTGGTCCTGGGCCACCCCCTAGTGGAATATGCGGCAGTGCAGGGTCCCGGGGCCCCGCACTGCCGACGGGCTTCTCAGCAAGGGGCGGGTCCTGTGACTCTCCTCCTCTCCCAGCTGCGTCACTAGTAACAGGCGGCGGGAGTGGAGAAGTGTGTGTATGGGCGGTACCAATGTGAGGGGTGTGGGCAGCCTGGGATGCCTCCTACATGAGTATCAGCTGTACCAGGGGCAGCATGGCAGAGGTGACGGGGAGGAGGTGGAGGAGGCCAGGCCACAGCAGGTAAGAGGAGTTGGGAGGAGGTACAGGTAAAGGGACACCGGCGACCAGTCCACCTGAGGCCCTGCAGAGCCCACCATAGAGAGTCTGAGATGGGCTGTGCAGGATCTATGGTGTGCTCTGCAGGGTCACTCTCAGGTGGGCTCTGCGGGGTCTCAGGTAAGCCCAGAGTCCAGTGCGTTACTAAGCCCACATATACCTATATACATGCTATACATAGCATAAAGGTAAAAAACGATATATGCAGTGTTATCTTCATTTTAGATGTCAAAAGTGTTTTGTGGCTCCCGGTGTTTTCTTTTCTGTGGGAAACGGGTCCAAATGGCTCTTTGAGTGTTTAAGGTTGCTGACCCCTGCCATAGACAAACCCATGCCACACCCCCAGTTATATATAGGCCATGGACAAAACCCCTGCTACACTCCCAGTTATTTATAGGCCATGGACAAAACCCGTGCCACACTCCCAGTTATATACTGTATAGACCATGGACAAAACCCCAGCTACACTCCCAGTTATATACTGTATAGGCCATGGACAAAACACTGCCATGTCCCTATTTATGCAGGAATTTATATGCCAGAAATGATTGGGTAAACCCAAAATTGTTTTGTTTTTTTCCACCAGCCTTTACAAATACTGACTTTTGAATTAGTGAACAAGTAATTAGGAGATAAGATGAAGGTTTTAGTGCAGAATAAGACTTTTAGTAATTAAATAGAACACTTTAATAGATATGTGTACGTCAGACCAAAAAGTGGGAGAACTGAGGAAGACAGAGGGATAGAAGGATTTGGTTCCAAATGTAGGACAGTAGGGAGGTATGAGAATGTACATTGCCAGCAGTGGCGTAACAATCACCATAGGGACAGTGCGGTCACTATGGGGCCCGGGCCAGAGGGGGGGGGGCCCAGTCAGGAGGCCAGGGCCCGGTGGCAGTGGTGGTAAAGGAGGAGGCCATGGCCCGGCGGCGGTGGAGGAGGAAGAGGCCGGGCGTGCTAGTGGCGGTGGAGGAGGCCAGGGCCCGGAAGTGGCAGTGGCGGCGCTGGTTGAGGAGGAGGAGGTGGCCAAGGCCAGGCAGCGGCAGAGGTGGAGGGGGGCCGGGCCCAGCAGTGGGCAGCTCGGGGCTGACAGGTAAGAGGAGCACAGCGTGCAGGGAAAGGGACGCTGACCTGCAGGGTCTCAGGTGGGCTCTGCAGGGTCTCAGGTTGGCTGCATGGGGTCTCAGTTGGGCAGTGCATGGTCTTTGGTATGTGCAGGGTTTATGGTGGGCTCTGCAGCATCTCAGGTGGCTCTGTAGGGTCTCAGGTGGGCACTGTGGGGTCTATGGTGGGCTGTGCAGGATCTCAGGTGGACTCTGCAGAGTCATTCTTAGGTGGGTTAGGTAGGGTCTCAGGTGGGCTGTGTGGGGTCTCAGGTGGGCTGTGCAGGGTCTTTGGTATATGTTGGGTTTATGGTGGGCTCTGCAGCATCTCAGATGGCTCTGTAGGGTCTCAGGTGGGCTCTGCAGGGTCTATGGTGGGCTCTGCAGGGTCACT